AGTGTGGTGCTGTGTGTACAGAGGTGTTGCGTTAGTTTACAGGGCCTTTTGAGGGCCCCGTGATTCGAGGTTTTTCTTTTTTGGCGCGCTCTAAGGAGTTGCGCCTATCCTTCGGCGTCTGAGGCGCCGGAGGAGTGGGACTTGTATCCATCACCTCTTGTGAGGTGGTGGATGTTGCCTGCTGGGCAGGCACATTCATTGAACTTTTGGACCTAACTGCGCCTGCAGTGGTCCCAGGTTCGGCAGACACCGGGGTCTGCCGGCCCTGTTTGTCAGGTGGCGGAGCAGTACAGGCTGCTCCAGCCGGGGGCGCTGGCGGCACGACCGCGGCCACACACTGTGTGACATTCGCGGGTGCCGAGGCATGTGGCGCGGCGCCCCGGCGCGTCACATCTGCAAAGGAGGGATAAGATGGGTTGTGTATTGCGAAACGTTGGCGTGCTTCTTGGAATGTGAGATTGAATTTAACCTTGAGTTCTACTATTTGTTTTTCTTTTTTCCATGCGGGGCATGATCGTGAGTAGGCAGCGTGATCTCCTTCACAGTTCGAACAATGAGATGTTTCTGAGGTGCAGTTGTCTGATATGTGTTGAATGGATGCGCACTTTGCGCAAGTGGCACGCCCTCTGCAACTCTGCGATCCATGACCGAAACGTTGGCACTTGAAACATCGACGAGGGTTGGGAATGTATGGTCTTACACGAAGCTTACAATAGCCGGTTTCGATTGATTCTGGTAGGTCACTTGTTCCGAAGGTAATTATTACGTGTTTTGTAGGGGTCAGTTTGTTGTTGCGCCTTATTGTTATTCGTTGGACTTTGACCACGTTCTGGTCCTGCCAACCTTCGAGCAGCTCACTTTCAGAAAGCTCAGTAAGGTCATCATCAGAAACTACGCCACGGACAGTGTTCATGGACCTGTGTGGGCCCACCGAAACAGGGGTTTCCCCAAAGGCTACAAGCTTAGACAGCTTTTCATACTGGGCTTTGTCACGTACCTCCAAAAGAAGATCGCCACTTCCCATCTTTGTCACTTTATAACCTGGGCCTATTGCTTCTGTGAGAGTTTTGGAAACGAGGAAAGGTGAAATGGCTCGGACTGTCTTGTTTTCGTTTTGACTGTGGATTACATGGTACTTTGGGAATGTCGGCTTTGGTGTGTTTAGCAGGAAAGTATCATCGGTGCGCCACCTTTTTAGGGAGCGATCAGGAAGGAGGGGAAAAGCTTTTGCCATAAAAATACTATAAAGTTCGGCGGCGATGGTGGCCACCCACCACCGAGCCCAACAAGGGGACGCTACAAGGTTGACTAGTGAACACTTGGAGACGCCAGCCATGCATCGCCGCTATAACCGAATATAACTACCCAAGGTTGGGTAACTACACAGGGTTAACCCTCGCCGCCAGGAAATTCGGAAGTAAACGGAAAAGAGAAGATGACAGGACAGATAAAAAGTGAGAGATAAAGACGAAGATGTAGGAAGAGAGAGATAGGAAAAGGCGACTGCCGATTTCCCCTGGGTGGGTCAGCCCAGGGGTGCCGTCTACGTGAAGCCGGGGCCAAAGGGGTGTGTTGCCTCTGCCGGGGGGCCTTAAAGGTCCAATCACCCAGCGTCAGCTCAACCCCCAGGATCACCTTTTCCCCGGACACGGCAAAGCCACGCACGGCTAGGCGTGGGAGGGAGCCGAAACTCCCCCGTTAGCTCGGGTCCGTGGTGTCGCTACAAAAACGACAAACTTGGCCGCATTCACTTTTACCTGAGAGGAGTAGCGGAGCTCTGGTTCAACAACCATAAGCCTGAGCTTACCGACTGGGCCACTTTCAAGACCACCTTTGCGGACGTGTTTGGCCGACCAACAGTGCGCAAGCTCCACGCGGAACAGCGCTTGCGAGATCGTGCCCAACTGTCTGGAGAGGGTTTCACGTCCTACATCGAGGACATCGTAAGCCTCTGCCGTCACTACAATCCCGACATGTCGGACAAACATTCAAACCTAAAAGATCAACTTTAAGGACCCGTGTCGATTTCTCGTAGAATCGCCCATTGGTGTTGGCATCGCTGGTTGCAAGATAAAATCAGCATTGTCTCTGCATGAAAAATTTCAGTGGATGCAAATAATAAAATTATGGGTCCATTTAAAATTGAACTAGGCCTTCTGCATGGCAGGCAGGTGTTTTACAACAGAGTCGACCAGTGCTCGAAAATGTTTAGGAAAAAAAAAAACGATATAGGTGTCACGTAGTGAGAGGAGCCACGTTCACATGTAACACTGCATGGTACACAGAAGCACAGAACTGCACCATACATTACACAATGTGAGTTGTGAACGAGCGGAAAAGCCCACCTACTGCAAAGCACTCGAGCATAAGGTGTGAAACTGCAGGAGCGTGCATATTGCGTTACGGACTTGTGATAGTTACTTCACTAAATCACAAAAAATTGGATTAGGACATAGAGGGCCTTTTGCAACTGTACTTGCAATAGGCAATTTAGGATAGTTTGAAAAAGTCAGTGTTAGGCACACAGAAGTTCCTTTCCTTACGGCACGGTCAAAGTGTACACATATAGCGAAGACTGCCTAGCATGTGAGAGGGCAATGCCAATAGGGTTCAAATAAGCTATCACCTTCTACTATAGAAGGCAAAGCTCAAGCATCGTTCAAGGTTTTGTATGCCAGGATTATCTTCAAGCATAATACTTTAGGTGTAGAGACCCCCATCAAAGACTTACCTAGCCCAGACATTTATGAAAGAAAAAGGTGCTGCCCTTATGCAGAGATAAATAATATAAAGTGCAATGCTGACAGGCATTCAAGGCATATGTTTTAAGCACAAATACGCAATGGATCTCCAATTATATGAATTTTGGTGGACCTTACAATACCATTGCACAATGCGGGCATTGAAAAACTGAAACATTAAAAATAGAGGCAGCAATGCTCGATCTTGCCCAATATTTGGGTACAGACTGCCTGAATAAGCATGCAGCATGACTCTGCCACTCTACAGGGAAAGTAAGTCGCATTACAGTCGAACCCCTTTGTAAGACATACTGATATAAGAGACAAATGTGTGTAAGAGACACCACTGTGCCTACAGTAAAATACAAGTTCATAAGAAAATACATACGAGGTATCCTGCTTATAAGAGAAATCTCATATAAAATGCAAAAAATGCTGTCTGAAGCAGGCCTTTTTTAAAGGTGTTTAACTGTATGTTTATAAGTGACAGGTAAGCAGTTCATTAGATGGTGCGAGCTTATCTTTACTTCCAACTTCAAAAAAGTATTGAATCTAACGCATGCCTTCTTTTTATAAATCTAGCCCCAAAATTGCCTGTGTGTATAAATGAAACCGAAACACTTTTGGCAAGAGTTCATAGAGTCAAATAGTATTAGATGATGGCGACAAAGCAGATTTTGTTGCTGAATCGCATAAGACGATTTCACGTGTAACTCAGCTGTGTGCATCGCATTTTTTCCTTTGTGAAGTGCGATTGTTCACTGTTTTTTTTGAGCGTGCATGTCAAGGAACTTGCTGAATACGGCAATATCACTTTTCTGTTTTTTCGTGCTCACGGCCTGTGACTGAGTACCTCAAGTAAAGAGAGAGGAGATTTGTGTGCATGTCAATCAGGGAAGTTTTCATAAGCCGAATCCAAACATAAAAAATATTCAAAAGTGAAAGACAAGCTTGTCAACTCGCTGAAGCTACTCCATGTAAATCAAGCTTTTTCAGTTAACAGCCCTAGAATATGCCCATGATTGAGGCATATTCTGGCGCCATCTACTAAAATGCTGGATTGCCGAAAAAAAAAATTCCAGGGGAATAAAATTCTCACTCTTTCAACTCTTTCAGTACGGCGCCATAGGCCATCAGACACGGGTGTCCGATGACTTCAAATCTCCCGCAAAAAATAAAAGCAGCGCTTTACAGACAAGTTGCGTCATCTGGCATACTCTTTGACAACTCCTCTTACAGTTCCAGCTTGGTTTGTTTACATTTCGCGCCCCGCCATGCCGCTGAAGACGACACTTGAACCGAAAGTGGTTTCGAGTTGCGTGCGAGAATGGCGTCCCGTCAGCGTCGCGCTCCTCGAAAGCAGACTCCTGCAGCAAGTATTTCGGTCGCTTCTCATGCGTCAACGATGCTATTAGGACAAATCGGTGAACGAAACCGGATGTCATCAAGGGCCTGTGTTAGTAAACAATCAAAGGATTTATCATCTTGGTTTTCAGTGCATTCAAATTTTGGCGGGACTGAAACAATCCATCGTGAAATGCAGCTCACTGCAAGGCCGGGACATGTATAATGGCAGTTTCACTGTAATTAGGTTAAACTACTTTCCAATACTTAAAGCATCTTTTGTCATCATACTACCATACCATATTAAACTACACTAAAACCTCCATATAGTGAACCCTTATATAACGAAATATAGGATATAACGAAGTAAATGAATAGTCTGGCAATAGATGTAGTGTTAAGAATAAACCTGAATTATGTAATTTCTGATATAACAAACTTAATTTCATGTAGGATACAACTTTGTTATAACGAGGTTTGAGCATGCTTTCCAATACTTAATATGTCTTGCGATCCTACCACCGTGCACGACATCTACATGTAGTTATAGGCTTACAAGAACCTTAATGTAAGAACAAATCAGTTGCACAACTGCTATATAGCTTTGTTTGTATTATTGTAGAAATCCATGAATCTAAACTGTAAGCACCCTAATGAATAAACATGCATTTTGAATTACGCAAGTTTTCTGCCAGCTGTCAAAGCCCAACTTGCTACAATAATGCAAGCAATGCATTAAGGTGAAGTTGGTAGCTTCCTGTGGAAGTTACTCTAACACAAAGCTGTCAAATGCAGCTGGTGCTTCAGTCAAGATGCAAGCCACAGTTGAACGCAATAGTGAGAGCGTCACAATGCGCTACCTTTCAGCCAACATCAAATGCTTAAACACACAACAGAGACGAAATGCTTGCTTACCTTCCCATCTTGTACTTCAAGCACTTGTACTCGCATCCAATTGTCTTCAACATTTGTGGCATACAGTTCCTTTACTTCAGCTTCCAAGACGGGCAGAGTGTTCCGTGCGTAAAAACTGTTCATCTCCTCCACAAGTTTATCATATTGGTCCTTCAAAAGATAAGGCAGATCAGGGCTATCAGGCCATTGCTACTACTATGACCAAAGTGCTTAAATTTAATAGTAAAAAGCTTATGACTTTTCAACGTGAAACTTCAATGCTTGTTCAACTGAAACTACTGGACAGGACTTAAATTCTTGGGCTTTACTATCAGCACAAGGAGATGGCATTGACAAAACAGTGCTGCGACACATTCGATATCGAACTAGAATAAAATGTCAATGTCAGCGGATCAGATATAAGGAAAAATAAATAAACAAAATTTTAACGAAACACCATGCAAAAATTCAATCTCTCGGGGTCATTAATTTTCACTTAAAATAAGCACACTGAAAGAAGCCTTCCATTTTTGTTCTGCTCTTTGATGTCAATGAAATTTTAAGGCGAAGCAAGCTTTAGATGACTTATCAAATGGGAAAGGTGACTGGCAGGCAGCGACAATCCTATGGAATCGGGGGACGAATGGTGAAAAAATATCATCATCCCATGATGATGTCACCACAGTACATCATAACTGTCACAGATCGCAAATTTGTGCTGTCATCATGAGGTCACAAAATTTGAGCGTGACATCATGTGACGTAACTGCTACACGATGCTGTTACAGCCGTTCTCCTTGAAGTGGCAAACAAGACCGAAGAGTATGCGTTCTCAACAAAAGGAAAATGAAGACTGCACTTGGCAGTGGCACATGAAGCCACAAGTTGTACTCCCTGCTCCCTCCTACATTTACCGAAAAGAAAAAGAACATGGTTTTCAGATTTGAGTAGAATGCACAAGGGACCATGCAATATTTTTGTCATAGTCAGTAACCATAAACGAGTTATTTCTGCCATCTTGTCAGTACTTCTAAGTTATGCATACACAAGCGTTGTGTACCTACTAGCAGTACAAAAACGCTTTCATAGCTGTTTATTGAGCTGAATGCGATCACTCAAGGTGTGTCTGCCAAGATAACTCCCGCAGCACCTTTCTATGTATAGTAATACAGCCACCTGGCCCTTGTACCCAATTGAATGGCAAATATTTCATTGAAAACATACTGCAATTCTGTCGGGTACAGATGAAGCTCCCCTGCTTTTCAGCCTCCACTGACTAACTAAAGGCAACCATTCACATCTACATCAATAAATAACACTGGATGCACGCTTAGTGAAGCGTTCGCACATAAGGTGAACTTACAGCAACATCCAGCAAGCGGACGTACACTTGTATCGTGCTAGCAGCGAATGTGACAAACACATCCCAATGGTTACCCTCGGGTAGGGGCAACTTGTCGGGAATGTTGGCCCCTTTGACAACATCAGTCGCAGACTTCTTCTGACTGGGTGCGCCAGCCGTGGACTTGTTGGGAATGTCAGCCACCTTGACAACATCAGTCACCGACTTCTTCTGACTGGATGCATCAGCTGCGGACTTGTTGGGAACGTCGGCCATCTTGAAAAAATCAGCCGCAGACTCCTGATTGGGTGTATCAGCCGCAGACTTGGGGTTGGAGCCCAGCCTGGGAAAACAAAAAAAAAAAATCAATGTGGTTCTGCTTACGTGTGCATTAATACCAACAACTATCCATACAATAAATGGGCACACAGCCCAGGCAGTCAACTCTCCAACAAGAGTCCTTCAAAACTGACAAGTTCTGAGAAGAAATAGTAATAGAACAAGAAGGTCAACAAGAAGGCCCTTGGCAGCTTACAGAGGCAGACCACACCTTTTGCACATTCTTCCCCTTACTGAAAGTGAAGATGGGGCTGTTTTATCGTGCTCAATGACTCTGAGCGATATTCATGGGCAATATAATCACCTGAGACTCTGCCACTGTCTACCATGAAAGGAACAAATACTACAGGTTAGGAATTCATACACCAGCACAAGTGCTGTCGAATCAGTAGTGTGGCTTGCCTTGTCCAGTGAAACACACGACTCGACCAGTTAAACTACACGATCAAACTCTGCTACTTTTCAGTTTCATGAACAGGCCGGCAACGTAACCACACAAAAAATTCACTATTTCTGCTGAACTGTGCTCAGCAATTGACAAAAGGCAAGCGAAGTCCAATTTATTAAAAAAAACATATTGCAAGGTGTCCAAAATTTTTTCATTTTTGTACATTAAGTTTTCATCGGACTAGCCTCGGTTCCACAGGGTTGCACAAGTTTAGCTGCTAAAGCGCAAAGCTGTTGATCGAACATCATCGATGTCAAATTTAAAGGTTGGCGATGGTATAGCCTTCTACTTAAAAGGACACTATAGGCAACTATCAAGTCGACGATGATTGCTGAAATAGCGGTCCAGAAACCTCGTAGTGTTACTTTTGTGCCAAGGAAGTACTTATTTTAGATAACATCATGTTTTAGTGGTCTGCATCTCGTTAATGCACCTTAAGTCCCCTGCCTGAAAGTGGCTGTCTTATGTCACTGTTGTTGTACAGAACGTTGCCCAGCTTTACTGCACAGCCACTGACACTAGTAGCAGCAGAACGAAAGTAGTGGGAGCCACAGCAGCAACAACAGCCATTGAACAATTTCCTGCCATAGCCTTCAAGATGGCAGATGTGCTTGGTTCAATTGGGCTTCCACTAGATGGCACGACCTGTCCAGTTTAATCAGGCGAAAACTGAAACACTTGTGCCATTCCTCCTCCTAGTAATATGTCAGCAGACATGCGAAAGTGAACAAGCCACAGTGTGCTTCATCACAAGCAGCAAGTCCCACCGTACGACGTACAATGGTGCCTCGGAATCGTGAATCTGCATTTTACGCGTCGACAGCAAACCCCATAGCCCCGAAACAAGCCACCACGGCCATGAACCAGCGCAGAAATTTTGCACGTCAACACTATAAAATGCGAGGTTAAGCACATGACATGCCGATATTTTGTCGCCGCGGCTAGGCATATTGTGCATCACCGCCAAATGCCACCACCCAGCATATCGGGTACAGACTTCCCTGAACCCGTGGCCGAGCGCTTGGCAGGAAACTTGGTGGTAACATAATGTAGGCGCATTTCAAGCCGTGCTTGCTGTTACACCATGTGTTTAAAAATGTACTGAAATATTGAAAGACTCCCAGACTTCGCTTTCGCGACTAGGTGAAGAATGAAGCGTATCAGGGCGAGGGTAAGAAATGAACTTGTTTGGAAGAGGGGAAGAATCTTTATCTGCCATGCCTGCGTTAAGTGAACTTCTCAGAAGTTCTTATGTCACCAAAGTCTTCGCCATAACTGTCCGAGCAAGCCTCATCTTGGATGCTTACAGACTTTTAATACGAAAGTGGTCATCAAACCTGCTAGGCTCACCCTTCAAAAAGCTGACAAAAATTACCAGCAAATAAAGAACATGGGCCGGGCATGTAGCGCGTAGACAGGATACCCGCTGGTCATTAAGGGTAACTAACTGGATTCCCAGAGAAGGCAAGCGGGTTAGGGGGAGACAGAAGGTTAGGTGGGCAGATGAGATGAGATGAGATGAAAGAACATGCAGTGCAGAAAAAGTGAGAGAGCAAGGGCACAAAAAGTTGCCTGAAAGCAAAGATACTAAATATTATAGGCCCAGGGCATTTTGATTAACGTGTAGTGACTGCGTAACTTCAGTGCCAGTTTTCTCAGAAGTGTAGTTGGACCTAACAGACCCACTTTCACAGAGCATAGCATGACTATGGCTTGAATTTTCAAGGGGTCTTCTGCATTGTATTACCCGCTGAATTCTCTGTGCTACGACGTCCTTATTTTTGATATTACCAATTCATTTTTTGCTCTTTAGCTAATTTTACAGGACAATAATGAATGCGTTATACAAATCTAGATGTAATGTTCTATGTAAAAAAATAGGGGTGATAAAAATATTTGGGTATTGTCATAGCATGAACCATTACTATGGCTCAAATATAAATGAAACTGTGGGCTTCTACCATGTTTTTTGTCATTCCAGGCTTGTGGCAAGTTAAGTACTGCTATGATGCGAGTAAAAGTTTATGATGTCAAAACTACTGGAAGTATCCTAATGAAACTTTGTAAGTAGTCAACCTGTGCACTTCCCAATAAGCATGCTAAATTTAATTGCTCTACTACCAAAAGTTTTAAAAATGCAGCTCCGATCTTCACGTCCCCCATTAAAGTTGTGGGAATTGAGGCTGGCCCGCTGCCTTTGCGCGGGCTTTCCCGCCTTTCTGCCATTCTCATGTCCCGACATGTCTGCCCTCCTTTGCTGTCTGCCGCGCTGGGAAGGGCGGAGTGACGTTTAACTCCCTCACCCGGTAGCGGATGTTGACTGTGGCGCCGCGCGGGGAGCCTCCCGAGAGGTTTTCGCGCGCTGCGTCGGGAGCGGCGAGTGCAGTCCGGGACTTCAAACGGTGAGCCACGCAATTTTTCCGTCCGTCGAGTCCCGTCGCTCGGGGCTCGTCGGACTTCGCTGACGGCGCCTCGCGCCCGATGCGAACGCTCACCTTTTGTTGCCCCGCTGCGTACTCACGGCCGAAGGGCAGTACGGTGTCCTAGTGCGTGGCCTAGCTACGCCGACCCGTCTCCCTTCGAAGCCAACGCGAGCGCCTTTGCCCTCGCTCGAGCAACCGGGCCCCTTTGTCCCGGTGTCTCCGTGGATTACCTTTACCGCGGAGACGTGCTCGTGGCACCCTGTGTAGTACTTTGTGCCCGTGGCGTGGATAAGCCTACTTGCTTTCCCGCCGCGCCTTTTTGCAACGGGCTGTACTGCGTTTGGTGTTGCCACAATAAAGTGTTGCGACTTGAGCAGTATCGTGTTTCCCGCCACGGCGACGGTTAACGCGTGCCCTGCGGCTCGCTAAGACCGGACCCACGCTGGTGGCCGTACTCCTTCGGGATACGTGTACACCACACTGGCGCCCAACGCGGTATCAAAAGCTCTAGCTTTTGTCTGCTCTTAGCGAGTCAGTTCGCCTGCGCGATTCGGGCTCGTCGCAACATGGCTGCTTCGCGGGACTTTTGTCCGCTGTCCCTTTTAGCGGATGCCGCGTTGCACACGGAGGCTATTGCCTCTATTGACGGGAACCCTTCTGCACCCGTCTGTGTCTGCACCCCCTATTGCGGTGACGACACGAGGCGCCTAGCCACTCCCTTTGGAGATGGCGCGTCGCTTCGGAATGGGCCTCTTGCCCTACCCGAACGTTATGTCTGCTTCGTGGCATGCCGCGTTGCACCAAGAGGCCACCGCCTCTATCGACGGGCGCCCTTCGGCGCTCGCCTGTGTCGTCACCCCTTTTTGTGGTGAATACACTCCTACGTGGTAGCTGACGCGCTATCTCGTGCCCCCTGTTGTCTGCCGAGAACCTGGATTTCGGTGCGACGGCCGCTCGCGGTGCCTTAGCACATGCAAGCGTCGGGGGCGAAACAGCAGCTTCGCCGCCATTCGGCGAGAAGGGTGAGTCCCCATGCGGACAAACCTTGGCTGCTAACCAGGTAAGCGGCGCACCGCGAAGCGGCCGAGCGGGGGAGCTTTCCGAAGGCCACGAGGCCGAGAGCGAACCCGTAACGCCGACTCACGCGGCGGTTGCTGCGGCCCTGAGTGGGCGCGATACCAGACTCCCCCATTTGGGAGAATGGGAATTGCTTTCGGCAGCGAAGAGCTACTGAAGGCTCAGCAGAGTGATCCGTTTCGAGTCTCGGAGGGACGGAGCGCCGTATACGCTGCTTGCTTTGCGGCGGGCGCCGTTAAACCGTCTTGAGAGGCGCGCCGTTACGCTGCTTGTTCTGCGGCGGGCGCTATTAGGGGGCTGAAACAGCGTGTGTCGCTGAGTCCCCGGCGGATTCATTTTGCTGGACCATGACGGGCTCCTGCTGAACTATATAGCCACTGACGACGAGTCCAGCGACCCGTTTAAGGTGGTTATGCCCAAATGTCTGAGAGCCGCACTGTTGCGATCCTCTCACGACGAATCCATGGCCGGTCACCTGAGTGGCTCGAAAGTTTTTGCAAACTGAGCGATGTTGTGACCTGGCCCGGCACGAAGCGTGGTTTTTATCGCTATTCCGTGCCGGCCACGTCTGACAAACGGTTGAGCCAAGGGTTGGAAAGCCGCCCGGTCTTATGAACCGATTGTCAGTGAGCGTCCGTGGCGCGTACTAGCTGAAAGATCCCCTTTGGGAAAACTCAGCCGTGCCCACATCGCAGACCTGAAGCCCTTTGTCATGGTCTGACGAGCTCGCGCCAGTGCGCTGCGGCACTTCGCGCAAGCAACGGGCACACCCGGAGCGGCGGACCGCATTCGGACCCCGCACCGGTATAATCTGAGGAAGCGGTCACCTTTGTGATTTCGCGCCGGACGGCGGACTTCTCCGCAACCGAAGGCCCTCAGTTTATTGTCTAGCCTCAGTATAGGTTAGCTTCTTTACGGCCTTTTCTCGTAAAGAAGTTGACCCCGCTCTGTCTGCTGCCAGTGTTTCTTTTTTTTTTTTAAGTGTTCATGTGTATTTTATGTTTCTTTTGTCTAATATTAAGTGTTATTTGTGTTTTATGTTTTCGCCAGATGTTGAGTGTCGTTTTGCTCTGTTTTTACTTTTTTTCCGTGTTCGTTTCGTCTACCGCGAAGGGAGCTGTGTGTGACCTTGAGTGTCGGTGCTTGCCGGGAGAGAGAGAGACGAAGGACGCTTTGCGCCTACGCTCGCGCAGCTGTCGGCGGTGTGTGTGCGTGTGTGAGTGCGTGACGCTTCGGTGCGAGCCCGCGAGGAGTGCGTCATAGCTTCCCCCCCATCGATGCGGACGCTGGAGGTGCTGGGGGGTCATTGACCCACTGACGTCAGACCATCTGGCTGTGCTCTGCTCTCGGCTGTCGCCGAAGAAGCCGTGCTGCCTTTCCCACCATGGCTCCTGCACGAGGCCAGCTGAAAGCAGCTATATGCTGCCGGCCAACGCCAGGGCGCCTCGCAGCCAATTTTGGTTCGGCCTCCCTGACCACCGGAGAGGCCCGGCTTCCCGCAACGTCCAGCTCCCTCATCGAGCCAGAAATGCGGGGCCTCCGAACAACCGAAGCGGCTTTCGTCGGACTCGCGGCTTATCAAGAGCAGGAACAAGCCATCAGTGAGCCCCCCCTTCCGGTACCTCTGACCTCGCACTCGGGCATCGCACCCAGCGGACACTGTCACGCCTTTCCGCCCCTCCGCGCAGTGGACGCTATCCCCCTTCAGCACCATGAACACTAGTGCCACGTTTCTGTGCTCCCTTCTGCAGTATTTGTATAGTGTCGTGTGTTTATTTTGTTATTTATGTTTTTGTTTCTCCTTTGTAATCATATTTCTTTTAAGCAGCAGTAGCAGGGCTGGACTGAGGTTAGCTACCGCTCATAGCAGTGTCATTTTAACTGCATGGGTGACGTCCGGCTGCCTTTTGCAGACCGGTAAAGGACAAGTTTAGGAGGGGGGGATGTGGGAATTGAGGCTGGCCCGCTGCCTTTGCGCGGGCTTTCCCGCCTTTCTGCCATTCTCATGTCCCGACATGTCTGCCCTCCTTTGCTGTCTGCCGCGCTGGGAAGGGCGGAGTGACGTTTAACTCCCTCACCCGGTAGCGGATGTTGACTGTGGCGCCGCGCGGGGAGCCTCCCGAGAGGTTTTCGCGCGCTGCGTCGGGAGCGGCGAGTGCAGTCCGGGACTTCAAACGGTGAGCCACGCAATTTTTCCGTCCGTCGAGTCCCGTCGCTCGGGGCTCGTCGGACTTCGCTGACGGCGCCTCGCGCCCGATGCGAACGCTCACCTTTTGTTGCCCCGCTGCGTACTCACGGCCGAAGGGCAGTACGGTGTCCTAGTGCGTGGCCTAGCTACGCCGACCCGTCTCCCTTCGAAGCCAACGCGAGCGCCTTTGCCCTCGCTCGAGCAACCGGGCCCCTTTGTCCCGGTGTCTCCGTGGATTACCTTTACCGCGGAGACGTGCTCGTGGCACCCTGTGTAGTACTTTGTGCCCGTGGCGTGGATAAGCCTACTTGCTTTCCCGCCGCGCCTTTTTGCAACGGGCTGTACTGCGTTTGGTGTTGCCACAATAAAGTGTTGCGACTTGAGCAGTATCGTGTTTCCCGCCACGGCGACGGTTAACGCGTGCCCTGCGGCTCGCTAAGACCGGACCCACGCTGGTGGCCGTACTCCTTCGGGATACGTGTACACCACAAAGTTTATTAAGAAAAGTGCTGCTCTAAATAGCAGAAGAAAAAAAATGCACCTGAGAATTGTTCTCCAAGCTGGACTGAGGATAGAGAATGCAGCGGTTCTCCTCCCACCTGGATCAAAAAAAAAAAGGAAAAAAATACAAATACTAAGTATTCAGTACATCTCAGCTTTCAGACAGCAAAAACTCTTAAATAACCCTACTCGAAATACGCAGACTAATTCAGGCACACATTGAATTCCTAAAGCACACTTAATTGGAAACTTTACCTAAATGCGAGGAATGATATGCAGGTATAAAAAAAAACAATTATTGAACATGACTGACATCACAGACTTCACATCGCAGATGTCTGGACTAGCTTTAGCGCTCTACAGTGTTTGGAGGACTAACACCCTGTGTAAGTAAATTCAACTCTCAGGCAAGGCAAATATCAATGCCTCTACTTACTTGGTCACAAATACGACTTTCGAATCCTTGACAAGCTCTAACCAGTTCTTCGGAACAGACTCGTGGTACCGCTCCTGGTACATTTGTGGCACGACTGTGTTCCAGAGGCCATTGCTCTTTTGCGACACTAGCTGTGAATAGAAAACACAAGTTCTGATGTCAGCAAAGACAAACAATCTGAAAGTGTGCATTCAATGCTTATCACTTGTACCAACATTTGTACCGTAATAGCTTATAATGAAACGAAATGTTTGGTGATCTCCCCCAGGCATGCTGCTATTTGCGCCGGCACTTCACAGCTGCTGTAGATATTACCTAAAAAGAAAGTTGGGCCAAGGTAGTTCTGTTGCTTTAGCGATGGATGTTTTCTATACGCTACGGGTTGCTTCCAGCACTTAAATAGCAGCACCAAAAATGCGGCCCCTAGAAACAAACTGTTACCTACCTTTTTCATCAATTACACCAGAAGAAAAAAAAACTTTTCAAGCTTTGCTGGCATGCAAAAAGAGGGTTTGTATGGGTCCTTGAAATACTTGAACTTGAAAAGTTTGTTTTCAAGGCCTTGAAAGTGCTGCAACTTTTGCAAATCCTTGAATTTCATGTTCTTTTACCACTTTCGCGAACGTGAGAAATTCGGACATTTTTAGGTAGTCTATAAAACGTTATTTCTGATAGCTAAAGTTTGTGATGTTAAAGGAGCTCTGCGACAATATTTGAACACGCATTTTTCATTGGTTTTGCTGGTGCTGTGGAACGCACCGATATCGTTTCGCATATGGCAACGCCAAAATCGATGCTGTTATAATATTGATTCAAGGCACAAACTACGGCGACGCACATCGACTGTTTTTATTATGAGAAGTGACATGTCATGTGACACAACGACAAACACCGTTTCACTTTTGATTGGTCTGACGCAAGAAATATCGTGCAATATTCATATGGTGGTAGCTATGCCATACGAGTAAGTGCTAAAAACAGCAATAACCTTTTTTACACTTTTTCGGAAAGGAATCATTCCTGTTTCGAAATGATGTAGTATTTTCAGAACAACGAACACAACACTTAGCCTGCGAACGAGGCTATGGTACGCCGGCAACTAAAAGTGGAAATGCTTGCCGCGTTTTTAGCGAGCCAAAAATGCGACAGGTGGTGGGAGCCGGCGTTGCCTTAGAAACGCGTCTTGCATGCAAGCCAAGAAGTGACCCCACCTGAACAGTTTGTGTGTATCTCTTACACAGGGTGACCGTGGGAGCGTCTGCCACCCGATGCACGTGGTTCGCAGTAACCATGCTAACGACGCCGTCAAGAAGAGCAACAGCGAGGTATTGCGTGAATTTTCGGATTGTCTTTATGAGACGCCTGCTGTGATTGGAAGCGGTCTGTGACGTCAGCAGGCGAGTGAAATGTGAAAGAGAGCGTTTCTCGTCGTCTGCTTGAGTTTTGAACTTCTAGGGCTTTTAACTTGACTTTCCGTGCACCAATTTTCACCATTATTGTTGCATTCGTCTCAGTAATCATTGCTACACGCGTTCCAGTACTAAATAAGGCTGTCCCAGAAGTGTTGCAGGGCCCCTTTAATGTTTATAGTGTAAAGAGGTTTATTGGGCGAACCAAACGGGCAGGTGGAAGATTCGAGATGGCGACAGGACGAGGAAGATGGAGAAGCTCGAGCGCCGATCTCGTGGTGCCTTACTCTGCGATGATGCTTGTTGTTCCCTTTTGCTGTCATCATTCCTTCATTATAATTGCCGCCATCGAGAAAGATAAACCCATCCTGGCTATCTAACAGGTGGGAACGAGCGGGCCGAAGTACGGCTTCAAGCGGTCCACGTGAACAATATCGTGTCCACACCGACGATGGTCACCGAGTGGCGTAAGCAGTTCAGAGGCGTAATTGACGGGCGATGTGCGCTCTACCACGCGATATGGGCCATGGTAATTTGAAAGTAGTTTGGTAGACAAACCAGGTGCACAGGGTAGTACATACAGCCATACAAGGGTTCCAGGGTTGAACTATGCGGCAGGAGGGTGGTCGTGATCGCGGGCCTTTTTCTGCGTAGTAAACCGCTTCGCTAGTTAGCGGCATTTTTCGGCGTGACGGGTGGCTTCAGACACGGTCGTGCACTCAGATACATCTGGTGCGTTTGGCAGCAAAGTGTCAATTGTGTGCGATGGTTGACGTCTGTATAGAAGGTAGAATGGGGAAAAGCCGGTGGTGACTTGGGTAGCGGTGTTGTACGCGTAGGTCGCAAACGGAAGAACCAGGTCCCAGGTCTCTGGAAGAATCAGGTCTCTTGCAACAGATAGGCCATGGCTGAATAGCAATGCTGTAATTTGCTCAGCGATGTGGTCGAAGTTGCCTGGGTGATCGCATGTTACAGCTATGAGAGCACTTGAACAGGATAGAAGGGTCACGTGATCTTCGAAGACGCGCAGATGTTTACGCTGCTGGTCGTTACATGTCATATCTGAAACTTGATCCGGAGCCATCAAAAATGTAACTGACCTGTCTTGAATGTCTATGATGGCGCCGTATTCACAAAGGAAGTCATCCCCAATATCAGGTCTTTGCAGCATTCGGACAAAATCACGAACGTGGCAACGAAAGCTGAATCACCGATACTAATTCTGGCAGTGCACTTTCCAGTCGGTGTCATCAGTTGGCCCCCCGCAGCTCTTATGTTAGGCCCCGTTTATGACGTTTTAACTTTTTTAAGCCAATCGGCAAGCTTTCTGCTCATGATAGAGAAATCTGCGCCAGTGTCTACTAGCGCTGTCACAGGGCGTCCGTCTATGTACACAGCTAGGTCGGCGCTTACGATTTCCTGCGGGGTCGGTGGCGTTGCATCGTTCCTCGTATCGTCGTATTGTACTGGTACTGGAGGTATTGCAGCATCTCGACGAGTGGGAACCTTCCCTCCAAAGGTCGCAGCTGTTAGTTTCCCCGATGAGGGCTAGGGCACCTGCCCCGGACAGTGTCAGCGTAACTACAATGGTTCGGCGAAGAGCTCGGCAAGGGTGACGGAGAGCGGGATCGACGATACATAGCGAATGGCTGTCCTTGAGGGTGCCTGCTGTCACGTCGGGTGTCGAAATGAGGCCATGAAAAACTCGGCGCATAAGTCGGGTATCTTTGTTCACGATATGGACAGACGCGGTAAACATGTCCAGTTTCTCGGCAAATGAAACAGAGTGGACGGCGGTCAACGGTGCACCACAGATCCGTCTTGCGAACGAATGGTCAACTGGTAGGCACCTTCGGCGACCAAGTTGCAGGTGTCGACGGAGGGTAGAAAGGCGGGTAAAATGGAGTTTCGATAGGTGCGTCATATTGCGGCGGTGGCGGCGTTGGTGGTGGCGGCGTTGGTGGTGGCGGCGGCGGTGGGTTGTAGACTGGTGCCGTCGGCGCGTTGTAAGAATGAGCCAGTGCAGACGAGTTGTGCGGCACTGGCGATGGACGACGGGTGGCTGCCGCATAGTTAACACACTGGGCTGGTAGTGATTCGGGCTGCGAAAATGCTTACCCGATTTCCTGCCGCAAAACTTCTCCAACTGAAGCCATCACCCGTTCTTGCGGAGTCACAAGGAAGCTGCGGATTTCCTCACGAACAACCTCGCGAATAAGCTCACGCAGAGGACTGTCACAGCCGGCCGTCAGAGTAGAGACGCTGATTGAGGCACCGTTTGGTCGGTCGTAATAGCGACACCATTGCTGCAGTAGCCTCTTTGACGAATTTGTAGCCTCTTTGACGAATTCCGCAACGGTCGTCGGTGGATTGCGCAGAAGGCCGGCAAAAACCTGTTCTTTGACGCCTCGCATCAATGATGATGATATATGGTGTTTTTTTTTTGGCGCAAGGGCCATTTGATGGCCAAAGAGCGCCAGTTCATGGGACAAAGAATGTGGACAATGATTGTGATTAGCGGCTGTATAAGGGCCATAAAATTCCTCGCAATAAGGCGGGTAAAAACATACAAGTAATAAAATCATGACCATGCCGTGAAAGGTGTGTGTGATGTGAATAGGTGACAAAAGTTAGTGATAATGAAAAACGATGGTGGACATGTATGGCATTAGCACAAGTACCTCACTCATTCATACCCTTGCATCCAAGGGCCGTGAGGCAAGTGCTTTCCTGTGTAGCCACCGCAGCAAAAACCTCTCTAGAGAGGTCGTGCTACGGTATGCCCGGGTATATGATATGAAAATTAAGAATTTCCTTTAAAAACGCTAATAATGACTTGTGACTAAAAAGCGGTTCCCTACCAACGAACATTGCAGGATGTAAAGGTATATGTTGTCGGTAGGATAGTGGAAAGTGTTGTCTTCTTAGAGTGTCTAAATGTTTACATTGAATTAAAACGTGAAGAACTGTTAATGCCTCACCACATTTATCACACAATGGTGGATCACCACCGGACAAAAGATGTGTGTGTGTCGTGTATGTGTGTCCTATCCCGAGTCTTGTTAGTGTTACCTCTGTTAGACGTGATTTTGATACTGGTGGCCAATGGCCAAGGTGTGGCTTGATAACGTGTAGTTTGTTTTGTGTGTGTGTATCCCACTTGCTCTGCCAGTAGTCCCTGAGTTTTCGTTTGAGAGACGGCTTAAGATCAAGGGCCGGGATTGATGTGGGTGTAATGGCGGTGCTTTCGTGGGCGGACGCAGCAAGCTGATCCGCCATCATGTTGCCTTGAATCTCACGGTGCCCTGGCACCCAGCACACAACAACATGTCGGTTGAGTGTGTAGAGTGTGCATAAAATGGAGTAAAGTGAAACGAGGACAGGGTTTTTTTGTTTTCTAAGACTGTGCAGAGCCGTTACCACACTGAGGGAGTCTGTATAAATTACTGCTTTTTGTATTTGTGATTGTTTGATGTGTTTAGCTGCCACAAATACAGTGCAGTCCACTTATAACGATACCACATATAACGATATATTGGTTATAACGATGGGTCGACTTAACAGTCTCATTTTATGCATTGGGGCTATGGGGAAAAAAACCATATATAACGATATGTTATCCACCGCATATCGGATACAACGATGAAAAGTTTGCCGTGGACGGCATGTTTCATTCAGAATAATCGTAACATTTAGATTGATAAGTTCCTCTGAAACGAACT